CTCTAGGACCCATACGTTTTGAAGTGAATTACAACGATATATCCCATGGGATGTTCGCAATGTCGGCAATTCATAGATTGCGTTATCCACACTTTGTGCTTGCAATACTCATGTCCTTCCACATTCATACTCTTAGAATATTACTATAGATTTTCATTTACGATTACCCCATCGAAAATATATTTTATAGTCTTACTAGGCTAGATCAAAAGTGGATTTATATTAGATTCACGATTACTTTGCTGGCTTGAAAGGTATATCTGTCGCAAGGATGGCTCTTTTTAGAAATATCCTCGATAAATATATTATTTTTAGTTAAAAATTGAGCTCTATTTTATATTGTTACTCCTTATCTTTGACCTCCAATTAGATCCACTTTCAAGGCCCCAATTAGCTCTAATGCTGCTCAATTCTCTCCTACTCCGTCTCACGGCTACCAGCTGCCATCTCCGCTATCCTCAGTCCTTTCTCCCTCAGAAAGTTATCACTCGCCTTCAGGCATTGGCTTCATTGGAAAACCGGCTCCACTACCGGTTTCGTCGAATATCCTCACCTCCAACAAAAGTTCCCGAGCCGCCGCCACCTTGCCGCTCCGGTCGTGTGATCTGTCGATGGGTGACCGACCAAATAGGCCCATTAGAAATCACTGCACTCGTGACCATAATCACAGACGTGGCCGTCCTTCTTCCTCTAGTTCCCCTCTAGCATTACCATTACTTCCCTTCGACTCACCTTCCGCCTTCAGAGCCGCCTCAGCCTCCTTGCCCTGTCCCGTCCATGTCCCCTGCCGGGCTATGACGGCCGGCCTAGTTGGTGTGGACAGTCTGCTACCTGTCCTTCTTGCCACCACCAACACGGCCGAAGAGAACGCTGCAGAACTCGCCGAAGCCTCTGCTGAAACCGTACGTACCACTCGGACTGCGAGACTTTCTCAAGGAGGCGCCGTTTGGCCGTCTACTGCGATTTCGACCCATTCAGAAACCATGGGAACTGGATATGTGGCTACGGGTGGTCATGTGGGAGGAACAAGCATCAATCCAGTTCATAACAGCCCTTTTCGGCTTTTTATGAACAGTGCCTATGCTGAGACTAACAAGCACAATGTAACCGAAAAGTTTGCACAGGCAAGTGGGGCCGTTGCGGTTTTTTCCGATTGCGTTTTCCCATTTGATTTATTATTACTCTGTACTCACTCATTCATCTTCCGTTTAACAATTGATTTTATTAAATTATTGTTAATTTTGCATTTATACGAGTTATTTTCACTCTATTTTGTAGTTGAATTTTCCCTCAATGATCTGATGTTTTTCACTGATATTTCACAAAAGCTGTTCTCATCCAGGGTGGACTGCATTTTCGACCTCGCATAGCTATTATTAACTGGAATCCCGCTTTGAATGTTGATATGACCTGTGCAAGGTGAAAACTGCAGTCCATTATGGATGAAAACACCTTTTGGGAAGGCAACGCTACGTGAAATTAAATGGAAAACATCAGCCCTACTCATGTCATTGTGGGAAAAATCAACTACTAGTCCATAATCACTTTAAACGAAATAGTGTGAAAACAACTCATATATCTGATTTACTGGTAGTCTCGAAAACCTACTTACTCACCAAAAATATAATTTTGCATTTGTTAATTGTTAGCTATCAAGGAGCATATATGTAAATAGATAAATGACAAGGGGTCGGATATGAGGTTTGAGAGTGACATGATCGTATTTACGATAGGATAAGTGACATTACTTTAATTCACGATAACACTTTAGCTATATTTAATGGTAGTATGGATAACTTTGTAAGAGCCCAGACAACTATGCATGCTTGGTTTGCAATCATTTTGCTGTTTTTCCTCATTCACCACAGACTGTCATTCTTATATTTCCGAAAGGGAGGCTGAAATCCATTTGGTTTATAGGCAGACTTCGGGACTATCAGTAGATCTTGTACAGGAGCTGTATTCACTCCACTTCGTGTGAGGTGAGGAAAGGCTAGTAGTTACATTTTGCTACAGCCAAATGAGTAGGTCTCACGCTTCTATTGCATTTCGCATAGCCTTTTTTCCCAGAAGGTATTCTCATCCAGAGAGCACTTTTGTTTAGACCTCGTCTAGATCTCATCAGCAGCCCCAGCTGGACTCAAACTCTGGCAGTGCAGCATGTGGTCTCGTCACACCAGCCACTACGCTACTCTGCCACGAGTACCCTTGTATGACAGGACGGGCTGTTCAAAGGAGGCCAGGCCTGTTCTATGTCAATTTATGTGGTGTAATTGTATTTGCTACAGCAATCGACTACATTACTTGTTCTTCGTTTATAATTTTGAGGCCTATTCACATTATAGGAAAATTTAACTGCCAGTCACTCATCACCTTGCACAAAATTGGTTGAATATAGCTGTTATGTATCATATACTGGTGTTCTCTAATTCTACTTACAAAAGAAAATAAGTAGTGTAGACGATTTCTATTGCAAATAAAACTTTGCCTTATCGACGATCCCACCACAGAACATAATATAGAAAAGGCTCTTGGCAACGTGGCGTAGTGGTATACCTGTCGAGACTATATGCGGGACTACCATGATCCAGGTTCCAGTCCTTCTGAGAATGCTGATGAGCTCTAGACGAAGTCGAAACTACAGCCAGCAGTGGATGCGAATACCTTTGTTAAGTTAGTCTTTGAATTTAAACACGAGGCCTATTCATAAGATTTCTGGAAAATTCAACTCGCCAGTAGGGAAATAGAGTGACTAGAACTCTTGCATAAAATTCATTTCATTAATGCCATCAATTAGAAGCATCATCTTTAATTTCAGGTAAGCATACTTATCTACAATAATTTGCACAAAGTAATTTATTGCATATGATTAATTAACATCTACCAAGATTCTGTATTGTTTTTCTTCTGTTATTACTACGTATACCCGCAAAGCATTTAATTCTAATTTAGACTGCATTTGTGCTCGTCCTTTGCTAAAACTAGATGGCTATATAGTTTTTATATGCCACTTTACCGAAATTATTTTCAAATAAGAGATAATTTAGTGATTGGTTAGGCAAGATTTATTTAGCTCATGTAACTGAATTTCAGCTTTGAGTAAGTTTAGCTGTCTCTATACACAGAACGCTGGTTTGAGATCCAACTTGTTCGTCATTCAAGTGGATATTTTCGAATTTTTATGTTTTATAGGCTGAAAATCAGTGAACTTAATAGCTAATCACACTTACTTGCTTGTTTGCTTTTCCATTGTTTGGGATTAGCAATGATTACTGGCAGTGTATAGCTATTAGCTTGTCTCTTAATGCCAGAATATTCTACTTCAAAGTGAACGGGCTTGAACCTGTCAAGCTTCGGATCCTTAGCTTTAGGTTAAGTAGTTTAGTGGCAGCAGAATTGAAGCCAGGTATCTGGTTACTTAAAAAGCATTCAAAGTGGACTTAACTCTCATTCAGGATACTGTCCATAGGCGAATCACTGGGTTATTTTATGAGGTCGTTTGCCCGGCATTTGGATTATATTTTCCAAGTTCGTTTGATACGAATGCTACCTATGTAGAGAAGATCAGAATAGAGTAAGAATTGCCAACGGACAAAGCTGGCTTAAAGTCAAGTGGAGATTGATACTTTGTGTAAATGTCGGCCTTACTGAAGATGCGCGACAGATTCGAATGAATTATACTCTTTTTTTATTCTGACCCTCCATTCACACGTACCGGCTACAATAAACTCCAACAAAAGCTAGCTTGAGACTAGATGAATTGAAATGTATGACGTTTTAACGCTTAGCACGGCTGTCTATCACATTGCTGCTAAAACTTTAGAGTTTTTGTCTCTTTACAATGTAGAAACACGCATGTGTAATTTCCTGTCAATTTTGCAAATATTTGAATAGGGAGCTGAGATCTATGAAGTACATTTGGAAGAGTTGCATTTTGAATACTCCGAATATTATTTGAGCCAACTATTAAATAATAACTACAGATAGGAGATAGTGATTTAGGCTTAGGGATAAAAGCTCAGCTGTTTTTTGTTTAGTGAAGTAAAACTGAAGTAGGCTTAGTCCCATTCTCAATGTAAGCAAAAAGCTCTGCACGGATTCATCGGGGTCATATGACGGGGAACTAAAGACTTATCTGCACAATCCATTAAATGCAAATACCTTTATGCACCTATCATCTAGGATTTGGGGTGAAATAATTTTTCTGACATTTCTTAACTCAACTTCTGTGCATGATATGCCTCTTGGTTAGCTGAAAATGAGCATATGTGGATAGGTCGGTTATGCTATGTTTTCCCATTCTTGCATGTTTCATGCTTACCTGCTTCTTCGGACACAAGGCCTATCAACATTCTAGTGCCATAACTTAGAATTGACGAGTCTAGGTTTTTCATCCATCACTCAGTAAAGCATGTCTATTTTGGACTCCAACTTCCTTACGACCTTTTTACAAGCATTTTGTAGTCCTCTTAAATCTGCTTTGCTTCATATAAAACTATACAGAACAGTTATAGTAGGCGCCATCACTAGTGAACAGATAAAATGTAACTAATAATTCCATATATTCATTTGCTGTACAATATGAGCAAACGTTTAAGCATCCTTAAGGTAATATGTTTCAAAACAGAATTTATAATTTGTCCTATAATACTAAAATGCGGGAGACCGATATCTAGTGACTAGAAGATTAAGGTTAATTATTTATTGATAAGAACTGTTCGTACCATTTTATCGCACATTACAAACTTAATTAAAATTACTTCGTATGATGGTGAGTTGCAGGATGTAATGGAACAGAAAAGCATTTCGGTTACGATACTCTTTCTGAGGGAATTCGACATCGCTTCAATGACAACTTTTATTCCGTAATTTCATTTTGGAATTTCACTCCGATTTTGACAACGCATATTGAAAACCCTCATTGTCTGAGGAGGACATTCTCCAAAGCATTTCTGTGGCATGAATGATAAGAGCTTGCGAAAGAACAAAATGTCAGTCCATTTGTGAAATACCGAGTGATTTCCCTAATAAGTTCCAATGGAGGGAGTCCAGCCATTTTCCTTCATGGTGTTTGCATATCACGACATTCTGAACTAATCAGACTGTCATGTCAATATTTGGTCAGATTGTTTTAAGCTGCCAAAGAATGGCATCCGATTTCTATTCCAAAAATATGCGATTTTTCCTTGAGAGACCTCCATAACAAAGAGAGCCGTCAGACCCAATCCTAAAGTAAAGCGATTGAAATGGTGAATTCTCATTTAGAATCTTTGACCGAACAATTGCAACGAGTGTTTTATTAATCATTTGAGTATTCATAAAATTACCTTAACAATTAAAGTGTCAAATGAATTTAGAAGTCTAATTTACCATTGAATTCTGGTTTTATTTGAAGTCTGGTTTCTTTACAAGGACAGTGGACATTTGGGGCTAACATTACTCCACTTTTACTTTCGGGCGAAAAATTGGTTGCAAGGTATTCGTGGATTGGCCTTACTAGAAACTTATGGAGGTTTGATTGCCTTGGAGTAGAGATTTTTGGTCTGTGCGAGTACGTTCTCGGCAACCCCAATGAATCTGTTCTAAGCTTTTGTCTGTTTCGTCGTGACAGACGTCGTCAGAACGCGTAACCATTGTCTACGAAAACACGCTGCAGTACAGTACACAAATTAAAGGTGGCTGGATACAATTGTATTAAAAGAAAAGTTGGGCTTCGAGGAATCCCTTATTTCATAATTGTTGAGCTTACTTCCATTTCGAGTGAAAGTGTTTGGTGAAGAGATTTGAAGGTCGATTCCAACAGAATACGACGGCGGATTCCTCTTGACCAGTTGTAGATTGGCTTTACTGGAACATTCATGCTGACGCTGTTTCCGAGGCAATCTCCTTCGATTCCGGTGAAAACGTTCTGAGCTTTCGTCCGTCATATGACGAACATCATCACTGCAAGGTATCATCCTAACAACCAAATTCAATTTAATGAGTCCAGAAAACTCACCGGAAAATCCCTAAAAAGCTGCATATATACTCTATAGGAATTTGCCGGTGAGTTTTCTTGACTCGTTAGCTTGAATTTGGTTGTGAAGATGGTACCTTGCTCTGATGGTGTTCGTCATATGACGAACGAAAGCTCAGCACCTTTCCACCGGAATCGAAGGAGATCACCTCGGATACGGCGTCACCATGAATGTTCCAGTAAAGCCGATCGACAACTGGTCAAGGGCAATCCGTCTTCGTCTTCTGGTACAATTATATTAACTTATTATATCTAATTTTTCTATCTTAAGGAAGCATCTCATGAT